TGTTCCATGAAGATATTTTGTAAATTTCCTACTGTAAATATATCAAAACCTAATTTTTGATTAGTAATATGCATTGCTAAGAACTTCATTTGGACAAATTTAAAGGCGATTTTCTCAATATTTAGATTCTTTTTTGCACCCTCAGATTCCAGATTTTCAAATAGTTGTATCTTGGCCAAATATTGTCCTATCCTAACAAACCATACATCTATGGAAAGCTTATTTATTCAGCTTTCAGATGCTGTATATATAAAAAAAAGTAATTTATAAACACTTAAGACTGGTTTTGTGGTCCAGGGTCACATATTTTAAAATGTAATTTATTCCTGTGATGCAAAGCTGAATTTTCAGCATCATTACTCCAGTTTTGGTGTCATATGATCCTTCAGAAATCATTCTAATATGCTGATTTGCTGCTCAGGTAACATTTCTTGTTATTATCAATGTTGAAAACAGTTGTGTTACTTAATATGTTTGTGCAAACCACGATACATCCTGAAAAAAAAATGACTTTTTTAAGAATTCTTTGATGGATAGAACCACATTTATTTGAAATAGAAATCTTTTGTACCATCATAAATGTTTTTACTGTCACTTTTGATCAATTTAATGCAACCGTGCAGTTGTATTAACTAAAGCATTAATTTTCTTTTAAAATAATTTTATTGACCCCAAACTTTTGAATGGTAGTTTATGTAAATTATTTTAAGCCATTCCTGACTGAATTAAATAACAATAGCTTGCCTGCTGCTAACTGGTTGTAGTGCTGCAGCTGGTGGTGGCAGACACCCTTTAAAACACACACACACACACACACACACACACATCCTCTTCTCTGCAGCCGTAAGTCACCAATGTCTCCTGGTTAACATTGACCCCTCCCACTCATACAACAGTTTGCTTTGTCATAAACGCCCAGCCTGTTCTCAGACAAAGCTCTCTTTTCAGTTGTGTGTCTAAATCTGATGCCGGACAAGAGGGCAGCTTGACCAGGCCTGCTCTGACCTTCTTATTGTGAGGAGACAATCAGTAGTGTCTTGCAAACACTGACTGGAACGCTAATTGATCATATTGAAATTGTGGCTTTGGTAGCACTCGGTCAAACAGCAGGTCCAAGAATACATATAAAAATTATTCTCTTAACACGTGACGATGTACCTGTCTGAAGCTCCGAAGGCTGTTCTCCGCATCCTCCCTCTGAAGCATCTCTTCTTGAAGTCTGAAAATGATATGAATATTTAAGCAGAGCCACACCCTGTATAACACAACCAAACCCACATCTCACCAGGACAATAAGTACATCATAGAAAGCCTTTGACATTAAACTGAATAAAATGTATTTATTCTCTTTTGCTGTATCAAAAAATTAAACAAATAATGGGTTGTTTTTAACCTGGTAAAGAGAAATCCCCATAAGAAGAGTTTTGACCTAAAAGAAATTCAACTAGAATCATCTTACAGAGTAAAAAAAAAAAAAAAGTATAATTTTATATGACGGAATCAGCTTTTTGTCATTTAAAAGGTCAGGAAAAATGGTTTCTTTACAAAATATTTTATTTAAAATATTTCATAGGATTATAAAAAGAGTCTCTGTTGTATACATGCATCATTAAAATGCATTGATGAACATTTTTCACATTAGCCTACAAAATATACAGTTCATATTTTGGTTTTATTTGACCTGGTTAAGAGAAACTTTGTCCTGAGAGTAATTCAACACCATATTACACTACAAAAACAAACAAACAAAAAAAAACATAAAATGGGGTAACATCTAAATCAACTGGTTTTATGTAGGTCAAAAATATTATCTTAGGTTACACTAATTAAAAAAATAATAATAATTTTAAGAATCAGAGGAGGTAGAACCAGCTCCGTAATGTAATGGCAGGGCATTTTAACTTTTCAAAATTTTTTACACGTGTATATATATATATATATATATATATGTGTGTGTGTGTGTGTGTGTAAAGGATTTTAAACAACAATAGACACTCAAAATCTTCAACTTATACATAAAACACATTGTTTTGTTATTGTTTTATATAAGTGTAGGCCTACCGTTAAAATACATTTATGAATGTAGCCTACGCCTATTAGTTAGTTCTGTGTTGGTGCTATGAAATACGAAATGACAATAATATGATTTTTAAACCAATTGTTTGCAAAAAAAAAAAGTATTTTTTTATAAACTTATGCACGTGCACATGGCAGATAGTTAATATTATTTTACACTTATAACCGGTTTTGTTTGTTTGCACAGTCTCTTGGACAATGTTTGGACATACTTCTGTCTGAGGCGCTCGATGTCCACTCCCAGATTGTCCCGGTCCACCTCCACTGTGGCCTTCTCGTTGGTGAGCTGGTCCACTAGTCGCCTCAGTTCTCTCATCTCATCCTCGTACAGATCACCGACCCGGGACGAGCCTTTGCCCCTCATCTGCTCCAGCTCCGCGTTCAAGATCTTATTCTGCTGCTCCAGAAATCTCACCTTCTCTATGAAACTGGCAAACCTGTCGTTGAGATGCTGCATCTCCGCTTTCTCATTGGTTCGGTTGGCTTTAAACTCGGTGTTGATGGCTTCGGCGAGCCCGAAATCCAGCGTATCGGTGGCGAGTCTGGGCAGGGGCGCGCTGCCCCGCACCCTCGCGCCCTTGCTCATGTAGATGGATGGAGACGCGGAGGACGCGCTGCTGTAGGACACGCGCGAGGTTGTGCGCCCCGGGCTGCTGTACTGCCGACTGGAGTAAGTGGACCGAACCATCGCTGGTCGCTCCCCACCGAACATCCTTTTATAAGAAGATGTGCTTGTCCGGTTGGCCATTGTAATCCTTTAGTTCTGGGTTATTGTTGATGTCAGCGTCTACTTTCACGAACCGCACCCTGTCCAGACCAACCGAGAGATTCGGCTTGCATTTATAGTCCACTCCCTATGCTAATGACATAACGGTGCAGGGAGATTTAGTGACGTAGAAGCGCCGTCTGGGCGGAGGAGCAGGACGTGCCCCTCCATAACTAGGCTATCAATGAAAGCGTTTGACTGTGGCAACAACAGGAAAGTGTATTTATTTGTTTATCCATTCATTCGTTTATCTGTTTAATTAACGTATTTTTTTTTATTTAGTTTTAAATATTATGTAGGCTATGTAATAGTCTATATTTAAAGTATATAATACAATACTAACAGGATGTGTTTGTCAATGGCAAACACAAGAAAATTCGGTTTATTTTTTTATCCATTAATTTGTTTATCCATTTAATACAAAAATGATTAGCTAATTTATTATAAAGTTGTTTTAAATATTATATATATTTTTAAAAATATATACATCGAAATTTATTGGTTTTATTCAAGTTAAAATAGCCTATTTTTATTATTAATTCCAAAATATTCTAAATAAATAAATAAATATTATATTCAGCAATATTGCTGAATCAATCTAATTATACATTAATTTATACCAACAAAACGAATTTTTAGATCAGGTAAACAGGTAACAAATGCAGGTTACCACTTTAATTATGTATATATAAAAATAAATAAAATACAGTAGCCTAAAAATAATATAAAAAGTAAATATAACATTATTTTAAATAATTAGCCTACTACTGCGAATGTAAAGTCATATAGGCCTATTCAAATTATATCACACACACATATAAGCTATATATTTTTTATAAAAAATAAATTATTAATATATTAATATTAAGCTAAGTAAAAACTTCTGACAATTAAGAAAACATACTGAAAAGAGGTGTTCTGCCAACAAAAGAGGAGGTGCAACCAAAATTCAAAAAGCCATGTCAATTAGAAAAGGTGCAACACCTTTTCTAATTGATAAGAAAACATACAAACAAATAAAACGTCGAGTTTTGGTAGTTTAGGCCAGAGGTCCCCAACCACCGGGTCGCGACCCAGTACCGGGCCATGGAAGAGTTGGGTCGCAAGAACGTTCTGGGAAAAATGTGTATGACACTCTGTTATTTATTGCATGTTAATGATTGTTCTAATCTGTATTTTCGTTTGTTGTATGCGATTGCTATGGAGTAGCAATTTGAAGATTTAATGTAGCCTGAATTAAATGTTCAATTAGTAAATGAATGATTGTTCTGATCTGTCATAGGATTATATTTATTAGGGGTTAAAGGGATCGCAGTTGATCTGTGGTAGCTATACCGACCAGGCCCCACAGTTTGGCGCGCACTTGATTCGCAGATTAATTTGCCGATTTACACGTTCAAGTGATTTTAAACCACAAGAAGAAGAAGCGAAAGAGAACTCGATTCGTTATTCGTTACACGCATTAAACATAAAATGATGTCAAAAATTCTCATTCTCTGTGTTTTAAATATTCTTTTCTTGCTTATCTGAAAAAAATCTTCCGATTGTGACACAAAAACAATAATATGATTTGTTGAATATATATTGAATTGAATATATATTGAATATGAATTGATCCGTATATATATATAACGTCATCTTCTGTTACCATTTTAAATGCAAATGACATTTTAATGAATTATTATAATTAATATTATTATTAAGAAGAGGACGAAAACTAAAAGCGGAACGTTTCGTATATGCACTTGTTTCTAGAGCAGGGCTGTCCAAACTCGGTCCTGGAGGGCCGGTGTCCTGCAGAGTTTAGCTCCATTCTAGAGGGTCATGTAATCGGGATCGCACACGTGTGGCATGCTTGAGTTGAGACGCTGTCAGTGTCAAAATATCAAACATCATTCAGCAGTGAAAAATGGAGAGCACGGAACGACTCCATGTTCTGGAGTTATACAGCGGAATAGGAGTGATGCATTATGCTTTAAAGGTTAAATCTGTAGCGACTATTGACACACATGCCTTACTCAGGATCAGTTGCAGAGGCTCTGTGAGTTGTGTTGTGAAGACTAACGTTAGCTAATTCGACAAAAATGTGTGCTTCTTTCAGAGAGCTCAGTTCCTGCTGAAGTTGCTGCTGCTGTGGATGTCAACACAACAGCCAATGAAATCTACAAACACAACTTCCCCAATACCCCACTCTTGCCAAAAACTATCGAGGTCAGTGCTTGCCCTCATGAATCTCTATTGGTTATGTAAATGATTACACACATTTTGTTTGAACGCGGTCACATAACACAGTGGCTCCCATGTTTTGTATGACGTTCCTTCTTTATGCAAATATAAACAGACAATAATCTAGCAAGTAAGATAATTTTGACTGATTTATGCATTTTTGTGTAGATTTATGTCAGTGATAATTGACCTTTCTGCAACTCAAACAGCTTGTGTAAACAAAATCTGTCTTATTTAACTGATTTATTGCATTCTTAACAACATGTCTCTTTTGTAACATCCTTAAAATATTGTTTCTTGGTTAATCCTACCAGCATGTAGTCCCATGACTGCGTTTTAAAAAGCAATAGGAGGTAAAAGTGTAACGGAGGGGTTTTCGTGGTGGTTAAAGGTTCTGTGCTTCGTCAACATGGTGACGATGTACCTGTCACTGGCCTCAATTCGTAAGAATATAAAGCAATGCACAAAACAATGGATGGTGATTTAAAGACATATAATGAAGATGGATTAGATCATTTAAATGACATTATTCTGAAGTAAATTTGTCAATTTAATTTTTAATTTTTTTTAGCTGGATACATATGAATGTTTTCAGATCAAGAATTTTACAAGCATAAATAACTAATTAAAGGCACAATATGTAATTTTCGCCGCTAGAGGGCACGTATTCAAAATAAACAAATAGACAAAGGCGTAGTTTGATGACGCCGTGACTGAGTGTGGAATCATGGGAGTTGTGGTCTTCATCCCCACAGCCGATGCAATCCGACGGGGCTCGGGCAGAAATCATGTTCATGGATGAGCTAATGATTTATTAACGTAGTAGAATGAAGCAGGGTGAGGCGGAAAGCCGTCGAAGCGAAACGAGGCCGCTGAACGAGCATGACACACGGCTCGAAAGCAGCGGAGCTTTTATTATGCCACGCTTCCGCTCCTTCCGGTCGTGCGTATCTGGGAAAAAAAGCAGTGCTGTTTTATTTGAAAGTTTTGTTATAATGCGACTCTGTGCGGTCGTCACCGGTCTATTAAAACGCACAACATATTACTTAAACATTATTTCTCTGATATTGATTTCCAAATTTGAGTATTCTTAATATTAATATTAATATTACTTCCTATGAACAAGCCAAATGTCCTGCCAATGTATTGGCAGTATTTTTGCACCTCTGACATTATTAATTCATGTCTGATGAAAGGACAAAGAAGCTTCCCCTCTCTCCCACTCCATTTGCCCTTTCCTGTCCGTTGTTTTATTCTCAAGCTCTGAGTTGTTTTTTCCCAGAATGTGTTTGTGAAAGAATGTACCTCTCTTCCTCCCCGCAGGCTCAGCAAGCGGCCGCGCTTCATTCTGCTGGAGAATGTGAAGGGCTTTGAGACCTCTGCTGCAAGGTAACCAGGGTGGCACAGGAGCCTTGAGATCACCATGGTTACATGGCTATGAGCCAACAGGGTCATTGGTTTCCCCTCTGTGTTTCTGTCACCATGGATCGTGCTAATAAGAATCTTATAGTTGTCTCTGCACATTGAACTGGGACGGATCAAAGTATTTTAATAATGAAAGAAGTAAAACGTTACCCTAAAATTGGACTTACACTCTTAAAAATAAAGTTTCCAAAAGTGGGTTTTTGCAGCGATGCCATAGAAGAACTACGGAAACGGTCCACGTCACTAGTTAAAATAGCTTATTTCTCTGGATTTAAACATTCTTCGAAACATTTGGGATAGTGTAAGTACACAAGTCAGCAAAATATATAACACTGTTCTAGTGGTTTTTTGATATTTTAATAAAAAAATCTTACATATTGTGCCTTTAACTCATATATATTTTGATATGCATGTCGTTATAAGTGTGATTTTAAATCAGCTTTTTTTTTTCTTTTTTTTTTTTTATATATTTGTTTAATAATAGCTGTTTTGTTTCATTTTAATCAGGGAATGATGTTACAGGATTTTGACAAACTGAACTTTGATGTGATTTTGATGAGCCCACCATGTCAGCCATTCACCAGGTGATCAGAATGTTTTTCTTGTTCATTGAAGTACAGTAGCAGTTCACATAAAACAATAATTTTTTTCCACCTGCATGTTGTTTCAAATTGACATTACTTTCTTTTTGTGTTATTTTAATATTAGGTTTTTTTATTGTTATTAGTAGTTTTATTTAGCAGTGATGCATTAAATTGATTAAAAGTAACAGTAAAGACATCATAAAAAAATCTTACCAACCCCAAACTTTTGTAATGTGGTAAAGGCTGCTGTATCGGTCGACTAAAGCTAATGTGTGTTTCTCAACAGGATTGGTTTGCAGGGAGATGTTGCCGACCCCAGAACAAAGAGCTTTCTCTATATCCTGGAGCTTCTGCCAAGGTCAGACTGATCAATCTGTGCTCTTGTTAAGTCACTTAAACATGATTTCTCTGATATTGATTTCCAAATTTGAGTATTCTTAATATTAATATTAATATTACTTCCTATGAACAAGCCAAATGTCCTGGCAATGCACACAGTATTTTTGCACCTCTGACATTATTAATTCATGTCTGATGAAAGGACAAAGAAGCTTCCCCTCTCTCCCACTCCATTTGCCCTTTCCTGTCCGTTGTTTTATTCTCAAGCTCTGAGTTGTTTTTTCCCAGAATGTGTTTGTGAAAGAATGTACCTCTCTTCCTCCCCGCAGGCTCGTCTCTGCACATTGAACTGGGAAGGATCAAAGTATTTTAATAATGAAAGAAGTAAAACGTTACCCTAAAATTGGTCTTACACTCTTAAAAATAAAGTTTCCAAAAGTGGGTTTTTGCAGTGATGCCATAGAAGAACTACTTCTGAGAAACTTTCAGTGAATAATTCTTAAAATAATATTTTTAGAACAATTTTAAAAATCCAAAGAACCTTTTTTTCCACTAGAAAGAACCTTAAAGGGATGTTCCAAACCTGTATGAATTTCTTTCAGCTGTTGAAAACAAAAGAAGATATTTTGAAGAATATTGGTGACCAAACAGTTGACGGTAGCCATTGATTTCCATAGTATGTAATAAAATACTATGGAAGTCAATGGCTACCAACATTCTTCAAAATAGCTTCTTTTGTGTTTAGCAGAAGAAAGATACTCATACAGGTTTGGAATAAGTGGTATTTGATGACAGAATTTTCTCACCATTTTTGGGTGAACTATCCCTTTAAAGTTTCCATGGATGTTATAAGTTCTTCATGGAACCGTCAAAGCCATTACAAACACCTTTTAAAGGTTTTTATTTTTTTTATTTACAGGGATGCTTTACTTAAGACACTGAGAGAGTGTGACTCAGGTTTGGAGTGGTATTTGATGACAGAATTTTCTCACCATTTTTGGGTGAACTATCCCTTTAAAGTTTCCATGGATGTTATAAGTTCTTCATGGAACCGTCAAAGCCATTACAAACACCTTTTAAAGGTTTTTATTTTTTTTATTTACAGGGATGCTTTACTTAAGACACTGAGAGAGTGTGACCACAGCTTTCAGGAGTTTCTGATCTCACCAACATCTGTAAGCATGTCTCCATCTCTTAAATATCTCAGAAAGTGTATCCCAGTCTTGTTTTTGTGATGGTGTTTATTGCCACAGCTTGGGATACCAAACTCTAGGCTCAGATATTTCCTCATTGCAAGGAGACCACCAGGATCCTTCTCATTCCCAACTTCAGCAGAGGTAGTTTTCTGTTTAGATCTATTCTAACTCGGGCACCGCAATGCATTTGCTATTGAATACTAAAGCTGTTTTTCTGCTGGCAGATTATAGAGGGCTTCCCCATGTCTGAATCCCCAAACAGTCTCACTGTTCCACACAGTCACCCTACATCATCTGAGTGTGAGAGAGAAAAGACTGGGATGATCATTTTTAAGCTGGAGACAGAACAAGAGTTGGAAAGGAAGAGGATCCAGGACAGTCAGGAAACAGTCCGGAGGCTGCAGGACTTCCTGCAGGAGGATGAAGAAGGCATGGATCAGTATCTGCTGCCCCCCAAAACTCTGCTCAGATACGCATTACTGATGGATGTAGTTCAGCCCAGCAGCAGGAGATCAGTCTGCTTCACTAAAGGGTGTGTTAGTATGTATTATGATGAATACTTACTTTATTTTATTTATATATTTAGCTATATATTTTATAATGTAAGTATGTATGACGTATGTACAGTATATATACACATTTTATATTTTTAATGTGTAATTTTATATATTATATATAATATAATATATAAAATTTAATATATTATATATAATAATATGTTATATAACATATTATTATATATAATATATTAAATTTTATATATTATATTATATATAATATATAAAATTACACATTAAAAATATAAAATGTGTATATATACTGTACATACGTCATACATACTTACATTATAAAATATATAGCTAAATATATAAATAAAATAAAGTAAGTATTCATCATAATACATACTAACACACCCTTTAGTGAAGCAGACTGATCTCCTGCTGCTGGGCTGAACTACATCCATCAGTAATGCGTATCTGAGCAGAGTTTTGGGGGGCAGCAGATACTGATCCATGCCTTCTTCATCCTCCTGCAGGAAGTCCTGCAGCCTCCGGACTGTTTCCTGACTGTCCTGGATCCTCTTCCTTTCCAACTCTTGTTCTGTCTCCAGCTTAAAAATGATCATCCCAGTCTTTTCTCTCTCACACTCAGATGATGTAGGGTGACTGTGTGGAACAGTGAGACTGTTTGGGGATTCAGACATGGGGAAGCCCTCTATAATCTGCCAGCAGAAAAACAGCTTTAGTATTCAATAGCAAATGCATTGCGGTGCCCGAGTTAGAATAGATCTAAACAGAAAACTACCTCTGCTGAAGTTGGGAATGAGAAGGATCCTGGTGGTCTCTTTGCAATGAGGAAGTATCGGAGCCTAGAGTTAGGTATGCCAAGCTGTGGCAATAAAAACCATCATGAAAACAAAACTGGGATACAAAACTATTAAGAGGTGAAGAGACATGCTTACAGATGTTGGTGAGATCAGAAACTCCTGAAAGTATTTACAGGGATGCTTTACTTAAGACACTGAGAGAGTGTGACCACAGCTTTCAGGAGTTTCTGATCTCACCAACATCTGTAAGCATGTCTCCATCTCTTAAATATCTCAGAAAGTGTATCCCAGTCTTGTTTTTGTGATGGTGTTTATTGCCACAGCTTGGGATACCAAACTCTAGGCTCAGATATTTCCTCATTGCAAGGAGACCACCAGGATCCTTCTCATTCCCAACTTCAGCAGAGGTAGTTTTCTGTTTAGATCTATTCTAACTCGGGCACCGCAATGCATTTGCTATTGAATACTAAAGCTGTTTTTCTGCTGGCAGATTATAGAGGGCTTCCCCATGTCTGAATCCCCAAACAGTCTCACTGTTCCACACAGTCACCCTACATCATCTGAGTGTGAGAGAGAAAAGACTGGGATGATCATTTTTAAGCTGGAGACAGAACAAGAGTTGGAAAGGAAGAGGATCCAGGACAGTCAGGAAACAGTCCGGAGGCTGCAGGACTTCCTGCAGGAGGATGAAGAAGGCATGGATCAGTATCTGCTGCCCCCCAAAACTCTGCTCAGATACGCATTACTGATGGATGTAGTTCAGCCCAGCAGCAGGAGATCAGTCTGCTTCACTAAAGGGTGTGTTAGTATGTATTATGATGAATACTTACTTTATTTTATTTATATATTTAGCTATATATTTTATAATGTAAGTATGTATGACGTATGTACAGTATATATACACATTTTATATTTTTAATGTGTAATTTTATATATTATATATAATATAATATATAAAATTTAATATATTATATATAATAATATGTTATATAACATATTATTATATATAATATATTAAATTTTATATATTATATTATATATAATATATAAAATTACACATTAAAGACTCTTAGGCTTTTTACCATATAATAGTCAAGAATTCAGTCCGTTTTTGTGACATGGGGCATTTTAAGGGAGTACTGAGCATTTAGTGAAATATATTACATTATTGTAGTTGTCTATGAAATGTCGTTCATTGGCCCGGTTATGTTGTTTGTGCATAACCCATGCTTTTACATATTTTGTTTCAATCTGTTTTTTTTATATTTTGTGTGTTTCAGCATTTCCGAAGCACATTTCCATTAAGCAGCAGTACCGTGTGCTGGGAAACAGCCTGAACGTCCATGTGGTTTCACATCTTATACGTCTCCTGATCTCAAAATAGACATTTTGAGATTAGACATTAGATGGACTGAAAGAAAACAACAGTTGTATAGGGAATATATATGTATACACTATATATAACATCTTTTTTTGATGTGTTTTTTATTTTTTTCAAATTAAGACCTTGTATGTTGTTGGATTTGTTGGATAATAAATAAAATGTTATTTTTACAAAACATTAGTTTTTTTTTATTATTGCCGCAAAGTCTGAAATGATTATTTTTTCCTTAATTTGATAACACCAAACAAAAGATCTGTGGAAATATAGATTAAAATATGTTTTAAATAGACGATTATATCAGGTTTAATGGGTAATTTACTGTGAAGCTGTTCATGTTCAGAGAATGAGCCCTAAGCAGCAGGTCCACAGTCTTAACTTTGGTTACTGATCTCCAAAAAAACATGTGACAGCCACTGACACTTGCCCAATAAAGTCAAATCACTTGCATGCAGCTGAGTTAAATGCTTCTTTATGAGTGATTTTAGGAACTTCAGTGGTGTTAGGACTCCTTGGGGCCAAAGTACATCTCCGGCTGCTTGTGTTTTAGGCAAGGTAAGGTGTGAAGGTACAGTACAGTGTCTGATGAGCATCCTGGGACAAGCTCTCTCAGTATGGCTCGGGCACTGAGTTTCTCCTGGCCCTTAGTCTTTCTCCTTTTCCTCTCTGGACTGCAGTGTGACCATGGTGGTAAATCTAACAACAGGCAAAAAAGGGACATCAGCACTGACCAGTATGTATTTTAAATGAAATATTTTAAGTTTACTTGAAAGATTGATACATTGCCTTGTTCGAGACCACCTGAAATTTGAATAGATCAGTTCTCATAGTTTCAAAAGCTTGGTCAGGGTTTGTTTTGAGTTTTCCCTGCTGCAACTCTCTGTATAATTTTGTGAATATTTTGTGCTTCAATGTGAAGATTTTAACATGAAACGGATGATATTATTGAACAGCATAAATTGTTTTTTAACAATGAAGGTTTTTAATTCTACTGCAAGTTAGAAATTAAACTTGTCCTCCAAAGTTACCTGGTAATTCATTTGCAGGCCTCGTATGATATCAGAAAATGGTCACCTTACGTTCTCCGCTAGCTACAACAAAGACATTCGCTTCACAACCTCAGGGACGGGAAATGTGAAGGTGGGGGCCGAGGACCTTATCCAGCAGATAAATCAGGTGAGTTCATGATCAGTTTGACTGAAACATCAGATTTCTGAGTAAAAATATGGCTCATATTAGAAAAAGCTAATAATTGCAAGACTTAAGGTTTATGTTGGTCAAGCATGTTGTGATGCTGTAGTGATGTCAATATCAACTGAATCTGAAATGAGGTTGTTTTGAATGGTTTTGTTTTGAATTTTTTATTTAATTGTGTTCTTTGGTTATGTTGCTTTTTATTTCATTTTTTTAAATTGCTTTTTGTTTATTTTTACTTGTTTTGTTTCATGTTTGTTTGTTTGTGTGTGTGTGTGCATTTTGTTTATGTTTGGTTTTGTTGTTTTTGTTTTGTTGTTTTATATTTAATTGTGTTTTTGTTTTTTATTATTTTGTTTTGTTTATTTTTGTGTGCATTGTGTTTAATTTCATTTCAGTCCATAATTGTTTTTAATTTTGTTTTATTCCATTTACATACAATTTTCTTTATTCTAGCCAGCACAGAGCAAGCATTTTGTCTGTTTTATTTAAGCACTTTGCACCTTGGTACATTTTTTGTAAAATTTAATCAAGTGTAATCAACTCTGTTCCAGATCAAAATGAACAAAGATGACATCAATACCATAAAGAACAGTGGCCCGTCTCCGGATATTACAAACCAGCTCAATCAGCTCAACACCAGAGTGACAACACTTGAGACAAAAGTTCAGACAATTGAACAGGTATCGCTGTAATCATCGATTTCGTTCAAGGCTTATATAGCTCACGTGATTAAAGACTTTCATTGGTCAGCCTTTACAAGTTAATCTCAGTTTTGTGACATTCTGTATTTCATAGACAGTACAGCGGAAGACGTGCAGCAGCAATCCATGTCAGAACGCAGGAACCTGCTTGAACTTGTTAGACGCCTTTCATTGCCTCTGTCCTGACAACTGACAGGTCAGTCACTCAAATAGATGTCTGTCCCTTTCATATATGATTTTGACTGACACTTCTGGTTCAATTTCTTTACAGGGTCCCACATGTGCAGTGGATGTGAATGAGTGTCAGGTGTTAGCAGGAACTCCGCTGGGCTGTCAGAACAGGGCCACATGTGTGAACACACCCGGATCTTACACGTAATCCTCCATTATTTCTCTTGAGTGGGGTTTTTAGTGTTTATGTGAGACTTTTATGTTCATATTTGACTCTTCTTTTGTTTATCAGTTGTTCCTGTACTCCAGAATGGTACGGTCCACACTGTACATCTCGCTATGATGACTGCGCAGGCGGAAGTCAGGATCTGTGTGTTCACGGCGTGTGCATCGATTCAGACAGAGTCAATCCCAATGAGGTGATGCAAAATTATGTGTATTCATTCTCAGTATCCCACATGCATGTGTTTTATAGGATGTATGTAGAAATAAACTGGAGTCATCATTACTCCAGTCTTCAGTGTCACATGATCCTTCAGAAATCATTCAATTCTTTGGTGAATAGAAAGATCAAAAGAACAGCATTTATTTTAGAAATCTTTTGTAACCGTTTTATTTTTGTAATAGTTTACTGTCAGTTTTGATTCATTTAATGCATTGTTGCTAAATAATTCAATAATTAATTAATTTCTTAAATGAATGAATAAATAAATACATTTACTGACCTCAAACTTTTGAACAGTCGTGTACATGACTTGTGGTTTTTTATGGTGTTTGGGCATTTTGGTCACCATTCACGTTCATTAAATGCTGAAGAGCAGCCTGAACATTCTGCTTAACGTCTCCTTTTGTGTTCTATGTAACAAATAAAGTCATACAGCTTTGGAACAACATGCATCTCTTTTCAGCCCAAGTATAAGTTTATCTGTGATGCTGGCTGGATGTCTCCACCCGGCGAGTCAGCGTGCACGGCTGATGTTGATGAGTGCAGCCTCCCGAACAAACCCTGCTCCACAAACCCCCCCGTGCAGTGCTTCAACACTCTGGGCTCGTTCTACTGCAGCGCTTGCCCTGCAGGTCAGACCACTCAGCCCAGCTGAGCCATGTCAGATATGATTATTGCCAAGATTTCCATACATCAATCATTTATCTTTTCTTAGATAGTTTATATAAAAGAGTAATGGTTGTAATTACATTGAAGGCATTTAATAGACTAACAGATTCTTATTAAGAACATCTTTTTTTATGAAGTTCTTTTTAGTTTTTTTTCTTTTTTCTTCTTCCTCCAGGATGGCAGGGTAACGGTTACAGCTGCCAGGATATCGATGAATGTGCCACAAACAATGGAGGCTGTTCGACTTCCCCCTTGGTGCCTTGTCTCAACACCATGGGCTCCTTCCACTGCGGCCAGTGTCCTCCAGGTTTAGCTCTCATCCTGATGCTCGTGCAATTTAAAATAAGACCTGTTGTCTTAACAAGAATAGGTCACCCAAAACCAAAAATTGAAAACTGGTGTTCCATGTTTTTTTTGTTTTTTTTTAACTCTCTTTTACTTACCAAGGCTACATTTAATAAATAAATAAATAAATACAGTAAAAACAGTAATATTGTGAAATATATTTACAATTTAAAGAAACTGTTTTCTATTTTAATATATTTTAAAATGCAATTTATTCCTGTGATCAAAGCTGAATTTTCAGCATCATTACT